AGGATTTCTTCGCCTTGGAAGCTCGATGAACAAGCCCAGACTTGAAGACTGATCATCTGAAGATTCTTATTGTAGTCTCTCTCTTCTCAATGGAGTAACTTCCCTTCACTTAGGTTTTGAGGAACCCTAGCTATGTTTCTTTGATTGGATGATTGTATAAGTACTCCTACTTGATAATCTTGAGTTTATATTCAATCTCTGCATGTTTTCATGATTCAATTCTGCTTTAGTCGAGATTATTGATTCTTCTTTGATCCTATGAGAGCGAATACCTGATTAGGTCAATAGAGCACCGTAGATTGACAGTATTGGATAGATTGACAGTATTGGGTTGATTCAAAATGCTTTGCATCGATTGAGAACCTCATTCGATAGAGGGAGTCTAGTTCAGAATGCCTTGATCGGTTGTTCTAGAGAAGGATACGTCCCTCTAGGCAATTGACTCAAGAGGGCCTTGTTTCTTTAGTCGAGACTCAAGGTTTAGTTAAGGATTCTCCGCGTTGTGAATAAAAGTGAAAAAAGTTAGAGATCATTAATCGTTAATCTGGCTAGTGGCTATGGGGAATCATACCTAAGTGAGTTCCCAACCTGTAATTAGATTAACTTTAACTGTAGTTTGCTAAAGTAGTTTTAGTTCTTCCATCTTAATCTGGTTTGCTAAATAATGAACTGAAGCTGAGTAATAGTAACTCTAGAGACCCGTGGGTTTGATATTTATTACTTGAGCCACTATACTGCAATCTCTTTCATTGGTTACATTTGGTCATTGTTAGGAGTTGTGTCATAGCGAGTCAAGTTTTTGGCGCCGTTGCTAGGGACTTTCTAGATTATTAGGAAAGGCAGAAGTTTGTTAATTTAGCTTTTCTTTCTGTTGTTTTTCTTTTCCACCCTTGATTTTCACTTGGGTGCTTTTTTGTTTTTGTTGGTGCAGATCTGAATCATGGATCCTAATGGCTTCTCCAACCAGTGGGGGTATCCACCACCACCCGAGTGGTATTACCCCGAGACTTCCTGGAGCAATCAAGGAGGAGAAGACTATGGATTCGGGTTCCCGTACCAACCCCCTTACTATGGAGAACAACCGGACCCTTGAACATTTCAAAAACAGTGCCTTATCAAAAATAATTCCTCCCACAGCTAGAAGGGCCATCGGAGCTGGAGTTAGCCATGGCGGTCTTCACGAGCCAATCTGCAGAGCCATGCTACAACCCACAACAAGATCCAAACTGTGAATTGGGACTTCTCATAGAGCAGTTTGCTTGGGACACCGAGATATCCTTTCTCAGGATGGACCTCCTAATCCAATCCATCCGTGAATCTGAGGAGGCTGTACAACGCTCATCGAAGCAAACAAAGTGGGTTGAGCAAGTTTGTGCACAGCTTGCTCAAGATCGCCTTTCTGCTTCCATACAAGAAGAGGAGGAGGATGAAGAAGGCTACAAGGACATCGTGGAGCAGATAGAAGTTGTCACGGAGAGCTCTTGTGATGATCATGATAAGGAATGTCTTGTTGTAGCCGACCACACCTTCCCACATTCCACACCGAGCTTTGAAGAGGTGGGCATGAGCAAGGAGATGCAAGATGATCTCATGAAAGAAATTGCTTGGCGACTTGCTCTCCAAATAGTGGTAGAAGAAGAAGAGCAATAAAGGATGAGAAAAGAAGTTGTGGAGGATGACGGAAGTGAATTAGAGGAGGTTGTTGATATTTTACGAAGGGAGGAATTAAATTCTTAAGAAGGAAGGTGGGTTGAGGAAGCAATTGTCGTCCAAGCTGGGGATGAAGTTGAGGTGGAAGAGGCTTGCACCGGCCCTATGTTACAAGTAATATCTCCACCAAACTTCACGGAGCTGCTTGGCAAGGACCCATTTGCAGTGTCTCTTTGCTAGACCAAGGCCACATCCACATCGGTCCCTCTTGGGGGATGCGATTGTGGTCAGTCGATGCTGGTATATATAGTTTGGGCAATAAGACGAGAGAAGAGAAGAAGAGGTCTCGAGGATGGAGACTTCATGTGCATCAAGTGAACGAGCCTTCATCACCTGTCATACCACATTCTCGTGACTTGAGACTCCATCTCATCGACGAGAACCTCAACTTCAAAGAGGGTTTTGGGTGGACCGAAACTTAGGAGCCATCGTCCGGCTCACGACGTGAAAGAAGCGCATGTTGGGAGGAAACCCAACCATTCGGTTTGCATTTCTTCCCCTATCTCTCTTCGATCGAGTCAATTTTGTTCTTTTATTTTAGAGTCAATAACTCACCCTTTGTGAGATTTTGTGTGGTGTTTGTGTTCCGACTACTCTCTCCTCCTGGAATGCACCGCCTGCCCCATCCACCATCATTCACACTTGATCTGGTAACTTCGTTCTACCCTCCTTATCTTTCCTCCATTGAGGACAATGTCGTGCTTAAGTGTGGGGGAGTGTTCCATTATGTTTGTGTGTGAATGCTAGGTTGTATGTGTGTGCTTAGAGCCTAGTCCACTGTCCAAATTTTTAAATTTGAGGGCTCCAAGTACTATCTCTTGCAATAACCTGCTCAGTATGCTTTGAATTGACAGCATTTATAGTACTATGCAACCTAGGGGGTAGTTGTAGCACTATGTAGGATGTTGAAGTGTAAGATTTTTCCTATCTATCTCTTCGTTGTGCCAGTGATTTTGTGAACTAGTGGATTTAGGACATTTGATTAATGTGATATCGATGACTCTCTCTTGCTGTATATGGACTCAAGTTTAGTATAAGGGTGCTTAGGTGTGTAATGATAAAGCAGTTGGTCCTGCATGTCGGAAAAATTGAAAATTTAAACATAGGGGTAAGCCCAACGTGTGTGACACCGTTCATTGCACAAAATCGGGGTTTGGAAGAGATTTTAGTGATCCTTGGTGGGGTAGGCCTACAAGGTGAAGCTAAGTTGTCTCTAGTACAAGTAAAATTTCCACCCGTTGAACGATTTGCCTACTCGAGGATGTGTTTTTAAGGGCACAGAGAGAGCTTCCGACACCCATTAATTTCATTGACCCTCCACACGAGTTGAGGAAAAGGAGTTAAAAGAAGTACTATAGCGAGTGGCAGATGTACAGAAATTGCTCTTGCTCAACCAATAAGGGTCTACCGTGCACAAAAACTGCAGTTGGAACCCCCGCAAAGTGTGCATGAGAAAAACAAAAGAAACATAAAATGAAAGTGCAAAAAGGGGTTCCAACAATTGAAATGAATGGAAGATCACCCGATACGATGAGTCCTTGGTCATGGAATTTTATGAGTCTCCTTATCCATGAATTGGATGTCTTAGTTCCATTGCTTGTCATGATCCTGGCTTGAGTCTAGTACTCGCATTGAGAGAGATATGGGACATCTTAGAAGACCAGTTGACCTCGTAAGTTGCTAATTGATCTAGGAAATCCTCTATTGGTGATCGGGGTTGCATGTTACCATAAAGGTATGCAGAGTTGCATTGGTTTGAGTCAGGTTTGCCTGGGGACAAGCAAACGGTTAAGTGTGAGGGGATTTGATGACTCGATATTTGCACATGTTTTCCCTTCTGCTTCTTTATCCTTTAAGATTGCATTATTGCTTCTTTGGCCTATTTTACGCTAGGTTGTGTTCCTTTGTCACATTTCAGGTCCTAGCACATAAAGTGAAGCATAGGCGCAAGTTTCTAGTCAATCGGATATCAATTGGCAACTCGGGGGACAAAACTCGGGCATGACCTGAAGAAGAATGGATTTCTACCTCACTTTGTGACCATAAAATCATGTAATCTTGTCATGAGAAGAAAGAGGATAAGACTACGAGCGTCTGAGATCAAACGACGCCTGATTTGGAGTCCGAACGAGGGAGAAATGAAGAATCAAAGATAGGTGACCTGGAACTCCAAAATACCCGACCAAAATACCCGACCGCGTATTTTGAGCATATGATAGGGTATTTTTGGAAGCATCAGAAGGCCCCCCGTCCGTGAACCAAAAATACCCGACTGGGTATTTTCCTTTTTGCCCAGAAAAGTGATCCGGAGCATTTGATACCCGACCGGTTCCCTAAATACCCGACCGGATATTTGGACTGGGTTTCGCGAACGTAGGCTGTTAAAAGACTGCTTTGTGCATTTTGGAGGGAGGGGGAGTTGGGTTTTGGATTCCAAACATCGAAGGGATGAACCAAAGAGAGAGAGGGCGATTTGAGGGCGATCTTGGAGGATTTATTCGCCTCTGGAAGTTCGATGAACAAGCCCAGACTTGAAGACTTATCATCTGAAGATTCTTACTGCAGTCTCTCTCTTCTCTATGGAGTTACTTCCCTTCACTTAGGTTTTGAGCAACCCTATCTATGTTTGTTTGATTGGATGACTATATGAGTACTCCTACTTGATAATCTTGAGTTCATATTCAATCTATGCATGTTTTCATGATTCAATTATGCTTTAGTCGAGATTATTGATTCCGTTTTGATCCTATGAGAGAGAATACATGATTAGGTCAATAGAGTACCATAGATTGACAGTATTGGATCGATTGCTTTAGTCGAGGGTTGATTCAATGCTTTGTATCGATTGAGAACCTCATTCGATAGAGGGAGTCTAGTTGAGAATGCCTTGATCGGTTGTTCTAGAGAAGGATACGTCCCTCTATGCAATTGACTTAAGAGGGCCTTGTTCCTTTAGTCGAGACTCAAGGTCTAGTTAAGGATTCTCCACATTGTGAATGAAAGTGAAACAAGTTAGAAATCATCAATCATTAATCTGGCTAGTGGCTAGGGGGAATCATACCTAAGTGAGTTCCCAACCTTTAATCAGATTAACTTTAACTATAGTTTCCTAGAGTAGTTTTAGTTCTTCCATCTTAATCTGGTTTGCTAGATAATGAACTGAAGTTGAGTAATAGTAACTCTAGAGACCCGTGGGTTCGATATTTATTACTTGAGCCACTATACTGCAGTCCCTTTCATTGGTTACATTTGGCCATTGTTAGGAGTGTGGTTGTAGGCTGTTCGATTCCATGGGAATTATATGTTGCCACATCCTCAAGGTTATGGTCCACCTTGGAAATTTAGGCAATGCCGCCATGAAAACCCTGGCAGAACATTTTATATTGAAGAGATGGACCATACATGCCAAGAAGAAAGAGGTTGGTGAATCCTCCACAAGTGCCAAGACGGATGAGGCTCCATACACTACTAACATCGCAGGTAACACCACAACATTGAGATATAGAGAAACCACTGCCATGTTGAATAAGCTTGCCACAAAACTATCTATTGCTAATGATAGAGTGTATGAGACGTGGATGAAAGCACTATCTAAAATGTGCAAGCCAACATACCATGCCTTGTCCCGATCCATAATAAGTGAAACCGGTAAGCATCAAATCAGAATATTACTTACTGTTGCATTGAATATGACATACTTTACTACTGAATATGACTTGTTTTGTAGCAGGGGGTCTCAACCATTAAGTGGTCTGACCATGAAGCAAAAGGTTAATCCACGGAGTCATGGTCGGGAAAGGTACAGGTCTAGGAATGAGAAAGCCCGTTGTAAGAAGAAGATTCAGTATGCCAAGCAACTTAAGGACATGGATATTATGTCACAAGTTCCCGATACTCAACGTGGAAGGCCGAACATCAATGATGACGAAGAGGACCTCATGGATATGCTTGCATTGTAGTTGGTTAGATATGTCTTTTTGGGTAACCAATTGTGATATGATTTCTTATCCGATAACATATCATACTGCAATTGGTTGAACTAATATTCAGGGCCTTGTGAAGGCATATTTCGTTTGTTGCGAGCTTCTATTTAGCAACATGAAATGTTATTTTGTAGTAATATTCAGGGCCTTGTGAAGGCATATTACGTTTGTCGCGAGCTACTATTTAGCAACATGAAACCTTACTTTGTAGTAATATTCAGGGCCTTGAGAAGGCATATTACGTTTCTTGCGAGCTTCTATTTAACAACATGAAATGTTTTTTGTACAAATATTCAGGGCCTTGTGAAGGCATATTACGTTTCTTGCGAACTATCATTAAGAAACAAGAAATGTTTGTCCTACTGGTCAACCCCAAAAATAATTACGCCCCTACCTGATTAAAACACCTAAATAGGGGAGGTCAAACTCAAAATAATTACACCTCCATACATGACCTGCACACCTCATTGTTTTTAGTAAGAAATGTTTCACCTACTGGTCAACCCCAAAATAATTTCCCCCCGTCCCCCATAAATAATTACCCAAAATAATTGTTCTAGTACTTAGTTAGTAGGCTATCAATACTCACATCTTCTGTCTCTTACTATCTCCATCTTGCCCTTCCTTTCACTCTTCAACCCACTTCAGTATATCATCCCTCCTTAAATTCTTATCCCACAAAACTAGCCTCGCAGCAAGCAGTGCATGTTGCAGCTCAACGTGCTCTTGGGTTCGCCAAATGATTTTGTATGCAGCATCCAAGTGGCCTTCCCAGTGCTCCATGTATTGGCAAGCGAATACCCCACAGTCGTCTCCACCAATTTGTTGTGGTACGTCTGCAACACTGAACACCCATTCAGTCAAGGGTGAATCCAGCATTACGCGCTTTCTCTCCAGCAATGTATGCACATAGTTGAACAAGTTCATCGCCTCCGGTCCATGAACATTCTTGGCAAAATGTTCTGAAGCCTTAATGCTGTCCAACAAGAACGTTTGGGGAGAAAAAAATCCAACACCTTTGACCTTCAAAAAATCCAACAAATGGAGTTGCCAGCCAAATAAGAGGAAGAAGTTAGATTGGGGAGAAAAAAAGAATATAAATGGCAAGACAAGATTAAAGTAGTATTCAAATAACTCAGACTCATATCCATAGAACACACACCGTATTGAACATTGTACACAACAATATTCATACAAGATTGAACTGATGTTCAAATAACCGAGTCTTATATTCAAATAACACGAACCTTATTGAACATTGTACAGAGTAGTATTCAGAAAATATTGAAATCATATTCAAATAACCCAGACTCATATTCAAAAGGCATACACTATAATCAAGCACATTCCAACTCATATTCAAACACATTCAAATTATTATTCAAACACGATAAAACTAATATTCAAAACAATCACACATATTCAAAAACATAAATGAAAGAACGAATACTTTGAACTTACAACGAGGAAGTGGACATCTCCATTGACCCAGTCAAGGAATGCCTTTCCTTGAACTGCAACAAGACTACTCTTCATTTCCTCTACAACAAGGTCGGACCAGTTGTAGCTTTTTATCCGCTCAATCTTCCCAACGAGGAACTCCGCATAGTCAAGCTCACAATTCCATGACCATGATGGTCGGAGCAGCGAGGCAAGTGCAAGCAACATGAATTGCTTGACGGCCTTACGAACAGGAGGTCTAGCATTCTCCTTCGTTAACTTCTCCACCATTTCACTCAGAGGAAAATTCCTGCACCTGTTTCCTCCCATCCCAATCTCGGCTTGAAAAGCCGACAACTTGGTTTTGTCCAGGCACTTCTCCATCACTATTTCTTCCGCAACGTGAGGAAGGCCATAAACACGAGCCACATCCTCGTCCTCTAAGGTTACACCTTCTTATTCTCACCCTCTCCGGAAATGAAGCTGACAGCAATGTAGTCAAAATTGGGATTTTGATCGTAAAATCGTACAATTTTAGGATTTTACTTAGGGATTTCGATCCTATTTTACAATAAAATTGGTTGACCTTAAAATTGTTTAAAATCGGGATAAAAATCGTTAAAATCGTACCAAAATCAGGATTTTGATCGTATGAGAACAAAATTGGTGGTTTGAGCCAATTTAAAAGAAGCATAACTGTTTCAGCGAAATGGGCAATGATGAGAATTTTCTTAGATATTTCTTCAATTTGAAAAATATTTAAAAATAATAAAAATAACCAAATTAGGGCTCGGTTAATCCCTTTTCCTTCACCCCATTTAACTTATTGGTAAAACAATTGTCCTAATATTAGAAGTATGTAAGAACTAACAACATTATTAACTAATTAATTTATTAATGAATATATTTGTACCAAGCCACTAACATTACTTATTTTATTGGAGTTCAATTATTTTTAGTTTTAAATCATACTTTGTAGACGATGTTGAAATATTACTTTGAGTTAAACTACATAGACACAACATGAAAACATGAGCCAAACCCATGAACTCTATCCTTCATCATGAATTATTTTGAGTTACAAATTAAATAACAATTAAAATAGTGATTTTGGAACATTAATCTTGAGAATTATCTTTTGTAAAAAAAATCTTTAGAATTATCATTTTAAATGTTATGTGTCGTTGTGTTATTAATGATTTACCTTATTAACAATCTTATATGTTATGTTCTATAAGGTACTTAAAATCCTACGATTTTATGATTTCGATTTTACCCCAGTTTTCGATTTTAGGTAAAATCCCGATATTAGCTGCTTTGGCTGCCAGAAATAGTATCGTAGTGTCATGCCATTGCACACAGCAGAAACTTATCGACGCCGCACAATCGTATCTCCAACAATCCAAAGATGCCCGCCTTCTTAAGCTCCTTCTCGCATTCTTCGTAGTAGGTCTCATCCTTCTTCCAAAATTCAATAACACTCAACAATGATGATGTGTGACATCGATGCTGCGTTTCATGTCGTTTCTTACCCTTGCCTTTCTCCCCACCTTTCCCAGCAGACTTCACCCCACCTGTCCCAGCAGATTTCCACGCAGCTTTCCCATAAGACTTCCCCCAGACTTCCCAGCAGAAGTCTCACCAGACTTTCCAACAGCAAACTTAACTCTTTTTGCAGCAACTTGATCTTCTGAACCAGAAAGAATATCTTCGGCAACAGGAGGATCTACTAAGAGTCGTTTCATGTGTTTAGGAACACGCTTCTTGATTCGCACCATTATTCCAAGCCTGCAGACCAAAAAAACATATATTCAGAAAAGGGGGACAAACACAACACAATGAAGAGAACTAATATTCAAAACTTTCAACATGTAGTTTTTATCTAGCTGAAGACAAACAATTTTAATGAATACACAAGTAATATTCAAACGCAGAAGAACTAGTATTCGTCAACAACACAGTCAACATTATACAACTAATATTCAAAACCAGGAAACACTAGTATTCGTCAACTACACAGTCAAGATGAACACACAACTAATATTTCAAACCAAAATAACAAGTATTCAACAGGTTTAAGGTTAACAGGGAACAAGGAACACAAGAATCAATTAAAATGGAGGATTACGGTAACAACTACTTTTGGATTCAACCACATTTACTAATTCTAAGCAAGAACCCATTCTAAGCAAGAACCCAAAACCTTAGTCAACAAAAAATTGACATATCTCGCCCACACAACACACATTATGAAGAAGATCCTTAAAATTGAGTAGATTTTGAAGGTGTACCAAAAAAACCCTAAACACCCAAGAATAAAGCAAAAAGGGGGATTCAAAGGAAAAACCCACGACTAGAAAGCAAAGGACAGAGGGAGAATCGTCCTCACCAGTATTAATAGGTGAGAAAGGCTGGCCAAAATGCACAGAACTCAAGGAAGGACGATTCTTCCTCGTCGAATCTCTCCTAGTTATCGCCTATCCTGCTCGTCGCCTAACTCCTTCATCGTCCTCACTTTCCTTGTTCCGACGCTTGCTCGCGATCTCCTTCTTTCTCGTCGACGAGAGAGATCTTTGTTTTTCGGAAGGGTGGTCTCTGGTTCGTCGAGAGCAAAAAAGATAAAGAAAAACGTAGAAAGAAGAAGGAGAGAGAAAGGAGCAGAGAGAAGGAAGGAGAGTGGAGGAAACGGTTGGAGTGGACAGTTTTAGTTTAGGTTTTTATTAAATTTCAAAAACCTCTCACATGGCAACCCCACCCCTTTTCCCTCCCATCGGCACTCGGCTCATCTGGCTGCCCTTTTCCCCTTTCCTCTCTTACGCCCAGCCCAACCAATCCTAACCCTCCGTTGCTGGCTTGGGCGACGTGGCCTTCCCCCGCCCTATGAGTTGGTGCACACAAATTTCGTTGTGTACCATAGCAAAATTGGTTTTTGTAACCCCAAAATCTTTCTCATTTCCCTTTTCTTCCAAAGCTGGCTATGATTTGGGGTTGTCCTTTTTGACCTTTTCTGAAAGTTCACTAGGATTAGGGAGGGGCGTGTGTAAAGTGATAAAAGATTGAACAAAAGCTACTTACTTTACTTCTCTTTATCTATATCTATTAGGGAATGTCTCCACCTCCATGGCTGCTATATGAAGCCTATAGTAGTGCACTATTTGCAAAATTGTAGGGTATATCGATTGTCTAACCAGAAAAATCCTCTATCAAAGCCCAAATGAATAGGTAGTTTTAGTGGTATGTGTTAGTTAATGGAATATGATCCACAATTGAATATCTCTCAACAACTTGAGTTATTGAGATTAATTAACTTTTGATATGATATCAGAGTCTTTTGTGACCGTGAAGTCTTCTGTTCGACTCCCGATGACCCCCATCTCTTCTGTTAACCACATGGTATCCAGACCTGTACAAACTTCAATCCCATATGATTCGGTTTTCGTTTAAGGGGGTGTGTTAGTCAATCGTATATGATCCGCAATTGAATGACTCCCAACAACTAAAGTTATTGAGATCAAGTAGTTTTTGACAGTATGAAA